CATTTTAATCGTGAAGGTGTATATTATTTTCATGCACGACACAATTTTAAGACCGTTACTCATAGGTCTTTCCAGGAATACATTATCTAAAAAGTGGTAGGACTTCTTTACTGGGTAAGAGTTCAGCCTCGTAACTTTTTTGCCGTCACATAACAGTGCCTGTTTTGCTGTGTTCTGTACTCTGAAGGGTATAGACAGTCAGTATACTTTTTTTATAGGATAGGGTGACAAACGAGAACACAGTCCACCTTATGGTAAGTGGTTGCTGTGACCCATCATCCACAGACATCCACATCTATCCTGAATAATCATAATGCAGATGCGTTATAACCCGTGAGGACTAAGATGGAATGCCTCTATTCCAGTAAAAAGGGTCTCCGGTTCTCTACACTCACCATACGAAATACAGCAGTGTTAGGCTGCTATTTTACGCTGGTATTCTGTGAGAGCGTGGTCCTTTCCCGGTCGAGCCGACCCATTCGTGCTACAACTATACTACTAATATAGCTGCAGCATGGCTCTACCACGAAAAAAATATATAATTACAGGCTATGAGGCATCTTAGTCCTCAGAATTGACAACGTATTTGTATATTTTGTATATTTTAGTGGTGACCTTAGCAACAAAATAATTAAATAGGGAAAAGGTCTCCTATTTTTTGGTGACCTCGGAACTTTAACTCAAGTTTCCCTTTCTTAAATCCAACCCTGACCTCACATAATTAGTAAGCGTGGTCGATGGTCAGTATTGACAGTATTCTTATGGTCTAGGTATATGTATATATCCGAATATATGAAAATGAGAATGTAAAACGATTTGTGATATTTGTCTGGATAACTCATATGCTACGGCCACACTACTTTACCGTCTCAGGCCGTTTACCGCAATTGACTGGATTGTAGGGAAAGTCGGAAAACTGAAACCCTGGCCGGAGGCAGTCCTCTTGATAATACCGGAGAGCGAACTGCCTAAGCCTCAGCTGGGCATCATCTATCTGCCCCGCAACAAAGCTGACTCTCCAAAGAAGGCGACTGTGCTGTTGAGGGTACATAATGAAGGGCTCCATACTGAGCTCTGGAAATTCTTTCACCGTAGGAACGATTGATACGGGTTTCTAGTAACCTTTTCTCTGGACGACCCATCGGCGGAGGCTCTCCGGGTAGAGTGGGCAGAGTCGTCCTTGGCTTTAAAATGATAACTTTTAAGGTCAGGGGAGGCTCTGATGCGGCAATGGAGCCTGGACCGCTCCAACACCAATACCCCCAGCCCTCCACCTCTTGAAGTGAGACTGGAACATCATCAGCGAGAGTGACTGAGTCCCAAGGCGCTAATTTCGCCTCTGTCCGAGTGCCGCCGCTGGCGTCGGCCAGGGGTAAGGTGAAGGAAGGTGGGAACGGTAGATCGAAAGGTACGGTGGGAGTCAAAAGCGTCAATAAGTAACGTCTTCGTCCTCAACAAGCGAAAACAACGAGGGTCTTTCAGGCAAATCTTCACTATACATCAGCTGCTTCTACTGTGATGAAGCTTTGCTTTGCAGAGGACAACATCAACCTTACCCCCAGGTTGATGTTGTCCTCTGCAAAGCAAAGCCCTGGATGACCAATGGTCAATTTCTGGGATTATTGGCTGCCGGTAAGATCAGTCATAGTCAATACTAAAGGCAGTAGACCCAGAGCTTGTATAATCTACAATAAAAATATTAAATTTTTGCCTGTTCCAGAGTATAGCAATGACGACCTGGTCACAACTTTCATAAATCTCAAGGAATGCACAGGGGCCAGAGTTATCATTTACTCAGCCTATCTTCCTGGAGAGAACCCAGATCCTGCCATCGAGTTAGAGTGAGTGGCAGAGTTCGCCCGAAAACACAACGCCGAAGTTGTGGTGGGATGTGATGCTAATACTCACCACACAGCATGGGGAATAACATCAACGAAAGAGGTGAGTTACTATCCAATCGCCTGGTAAGGCTAAACTATATCAGAGTTAACATAAATTATATGATTGACGTAGTGTTTTTACAGATTGATTTCTAAACACTGAAGTATGGCGAAAATTTCTGCCTGGAAGGTAGAGGTGAATCTACCCAAATTCATACTAAATTTGAATTTGGGGTGTTCTCCATAAATTCCAAAGCCTAAGTCCAGGCCTATTTTTGACCCGTCGGTATTCCATATAAGGCTACCAACCTCACAGATGACCTGGCCATTCAGCCTCTGGAGGGTAATTCGACTGTATACTTTTTATTAAAGGTATTAAGTGGACCCATAATAACTGAGATCATGCATAAGACCAGTGTTTCCTTAATTGATTCGAGCGTGGATCTCAATCTATAGTAAAGCAAGTTCAAACCGCCATGAGCGTTAATCCTATACAAACTAGCCCTCGCCTCCTTATCTAAATAAAGATGAAGAGGCGTTAGGCCTAAAAGTGCATTAAAGCCGCTCCAGGCGATAATCGCATCGCTCCAGTTGCCATTAAACGGGCAGTCCTTTGTAGACTATTTAGTGTGTCCGCAGTCGTTTTTTGGTTGGCCTTATTACACCAGACAGTGGAGGCGTAGGTATTAATCACTGTGCTGCTGTACCTGGCCATAGGACCATACTGGGATGTAAGCCCCAGTTGTTCTCGAACATGCGCCTGCACATACCTAAAGCAATTTTAGCCTTATGACATACGTTGCAAAGGTAAGAGTTTCACGTTAGTTTTTGGCCGATTGTTACGCCCAAGTACTTAACTTCACACTTTCTCCACTAAGAATGGCACTTCTTTACCATTAAGTTTTGGTGTAACTAATTTGTTCAACAGCCTCGTTTTGTTAAAGGGTATTATAACAGTTTTATCAGTATTAGCTGATAAACTGTTATCCCTACAGCAATTGTTTATGGTGTTTAGGGCTCTTTGTATAATTAATGATAAAAATTATTTTATCAAAAGCCCCTCGCAACGATCACAAGGTAATAAACGTAACCCAGTGTTACATTGTGATGGTCTGCCATCTTGTACAATGATTGCTCAACCGCAAGAGTCTAAAGAAGGAGTGACAATAAACCTCCTTGTGGATAGCCTCTTGTAATTGGAACGTTAATTAATGTTTGAAACAGCAGTATTTTTGCCATTCTATTTGAGAGCATCGAATTCACCCACCAGATGGTTGTGGTGTCAACATTTTTAGATGTCAGTACCCCAACCAGCAGTAATGTGTGGCTACTGTCGAACTGGTGCTCTCAGTATCTAGAAAGCCACAAAGAGCTACATATTTTTACCCTCCAGCGCTTTTCGACCCTCTCGATAACACTGATCAGGGCTGTTTCCGTAGATTTGCCTCTGCGGTAAGCATGACGGTTGAAGTGTATAGGCTTCGTAGCTAGAGCTACATTCGTAATATATCTATTTGTAATTTTTTCCAATGTCTTAAGAAGAAAGGAGGAAAGGCTTAATAGGTCTATAGGACATTGGTAAAGAGTAGTCCTTTCTACCAACCTTATTTATAAATAGAACTTGGATAATTGTCCATCGTTCTAGAATATATCCCCATGTAAAACTTGCTCTGAAGATTTTCATCGATATCGATATTGATACCACTCTGTAGTTGGATGGGAATTATTCCATCCTCCCCGCTTGTCTTATATGGTTTAAAGGAGTCAACAGCCCACTGCACCAGGTTTGGCCTTATTATTTTTGTAGCCATACACCAGTCCTCAGTACAAGGCTTTCTTAGGGCTCTGAAAGAGTTCGACTCAAGAGTCTTATGTGACCATAGGAAATGGGTTGACGCCAGTAACTCCAATGTTTCTGATTCACTATTAGTGAAGCTACCATCAGGCTTTTTAAGAAGCCCGATCTGATTAGGTTTACATTGCGTAAACCGCCTAAACGTCCTGGGAGGTAACAACAGACCTGTTTTAAAATGGGTTCCGGGTGTTTACTGCACACTTTGTATTAAGCACGTCTATAAAATACTGCTAGATCGACAGTAAAGGTTTCTCTAGTGAAGTGTAGTTCTTTAGTAATGTGGCAACCGATGTTTTTTATAGGATTTTTCAGAAAAACATCATAGGGGCATGTACTTATAAAATAGGCGGACTGAAGTTTGTTAAGAAAGAACTGATGCACTGCAATGGCTGCAGTGCAAGTATGTTTGCGTGCAATATAGGGTTGTCATGTAAAACAAAATTTACCCATTTTTTTTTTAAAAATCTATCAAAATATAACTTTCACACAATACTTATTTTAATTACGCAACTAATATAAATAATACAATTGATGTTTATTCTATGTAATAACAAAATTTGTATTCCTGCTTACTTCACCGAGTTCTATGGTAACTTCTTTACAGTTCAGGCTACACGTCCTTGGAACTCCTTGCGCACTGACATCGAAAAGCTTCCAATAAGTTTACTTTTAATAAAAAGTTGTTTTTTTTTTTTATATAGGAGAGGGGGCAAACGAGTAGTAAGTAGTCACGTATTAAAACAACAAAACTTCTTACAGAAATCATCCATGTCATATATATTTCTGAACCGATAATTCATAGTTATTTATATTTACTAATCATATATATATATATACATTTATTAGTAAAATGTATATATTACGTAATTAATTACCATTTTCATTTTGATTGTTATTGGATATTGCTACACCTACATTAAAATTCTCACCATTCCATGAGTTGGCTGTGTGGCATTAAGTCCGTTCTTTGTATTCTTTTGTTTTAAGAATTGCAATAAATAATAAATAATTAAAAAAAATGTTACGAATGCTTAGATAGACTGGTGCAATAAAAAAAAACGTAATGATTTAAATTAATTTTATTACAAACATTATATCATACAAAAATTTTATTAAGTATTTGGAATGTAACATATTATATAAGTAACTTGGAAATTTCACTTTGTGATAATAAGTAAAGTTTCATTTGAATTGATCTAGTTGAAATAGAATTAAAGTGTTGAAAAGCACTCTTTACAAATTTAACAGTGAAACAATTAACCAGTATGGATTTAAAACTCGCAACAAATAACGGAGCCTTTCCGGAGCATAGTTTTTGGGATTTTAAAGGCAAAGGTAAGAAGATTTATTTGCATTTTTCTTATCTCCTCAAAACGACAAATATTTATTTAGGTAGTTCGGAGCTGTTTTATATATACTACTTTAACTTCGGAACTTTGTTAGCGCGATTTAGGCTTCAATATGTTTCGATTGTGGCGCGTCGACAGCGCCGCCACAGTTTGATTGTAACTTATTAACTTAGCTATGAAATCCAGCACCTGATCACTCTCCGGTCGTGTTGGATTTTGTCCCATTGGACTATCAGAGTGAAAGAATATGGAATGCACCCATGCTTGCGCATACACTCGGGCACTATATAATCCTGTCCTGTGTCTCCGATGAGACTAGCCGCCGTGACCGTGTATTCCGTCTGTTGGACATAACAATATTGTTTTATGTGTTTACTAGGTTTTTTCAAATAATTTTATTATTTTGTTTAGTTTTCGCTTATAATAACTTCAAATATTGGGTAGCAAGCATCCGTTACGTTTAGAACAGGGGATAATTTAAAGTACTTATTTTTTTTTATTTTATAGGATAATCGTGACAAACGAGCACACAGTCCACCTGATGGTAAGTGGTTGCTGTGACCCATAGACATCTACATCTATCTTCGATACGAATGAAGCTGTACATGCGTTGTCACCCGTGAGGACTAAGATGGAATGCCTCTTTTTCAGTAAAATAGGTCTTCGGTTCTTTATACTCACCATACGAAACACAGCAGCGTTAAGCTGCTATTTGACGCTGGTATTCTGCGAGAGCGTGGTCCTTCCCCGGTCAAGCCGACCCATTCGTGCTGCAACCATAATATACCTGCAGCATGGCTCTACCACGTATGTACTTTTCGATTAATATATAATCAACACTAATGTTGCAATAAAACTTTGAAATATTTACAGTTGTTTTAAATAACATATATATAGTTGTTATACCGAAAACAGTTTCAAATTTATAAACTGCACTAAATTTAAAATATAACTACAGCCGATTTTAGTTAATTGTTAAAGAGCCAAACTCCAAAGAAGTATATGCGGTGAAAATTAATACATTAAAATGTTTTTAATTTTTGTACTATTAAAATATAAACAAATGATTAAGATTGATTATATGAAAAAGACAAATATTGTCAATTTTCTGTTTTCTTCCTTCTGTTGTATTTGTTTAGTCTAAACAGCTTTGCCTTTATAGTAGCTATTTGGTTTTTTTATTCTTTTAAACGTTCATTATAGTATATTAGTAGTATAGTTGTAGCAGGAATAGGTCGGCTCGACCGGGGAAGGACCACGCTCTCACAGAATTCCAGCGTAAAATAGCAGCTTAACGCTGCTGTGTTTCGTAGGGTGAGTGTTTTAGACCTACTTTACTGAAAAAGAGGCATTCCATCTTAGTCCCCACGGGTGACGAAGCATCTGCATTTTGATTCTTTATTGAGGATAAATGTAGATGTCTATGGGTCACAGCAACCACTTACCAGCAGGTGGACTGTGTGCTCGTTTGTCACCCTATCCTATAAAAAAATATCAAGAGACCAGTACTGAACATTGACCACCAGCATAGATTGGCTACAAAAGAAGAATTTGTCATAGTTGGCACGCTTTTTATATAATATGGGTGACAAATGAGCACACTGTGCACTTAATGATTAGTAGATTCTGTGGCCCATAGACATCTTCTACATTTAACCTCGATTAAAATCAAAGTGCAGATGCGTCACCCTTGAGGAATAAGATTGATAACTCTTATCCAATAAAAAAGGTTCTCCGTCTCTCTACACTCACTGCTATTATATGCTGGTCTTACGCCGGTTGAGCCAACCCATTCGTGCTGCAACCATATTATAGCTGCAGTGTCACTCTACCACGTAATGATATTATAATATATGCAACTAAAGTTATGGTTATAGCGTCACTTTGGCAATCAAACCTCATCCCACGGTGGGGGGTCTTTATACCAGAAAGGTACATTGTTGTAATTTTTTTGGATATCTTTCTTTACCCGACTGCCACAGAAGGAGGGTTTTGTTTTTCGGAGTTTGGTATTTAGTAACAATTTACATCTTCTGACAAAGATAATATTCAAATCAATATAGATAATATTTTATTAAAATTTGTTTAAAATATTTTTTTAATATCTAATTTTAATTTCTTTCAGTTGACTACGTTGATGAATGGTTTCTAATGAAATCGCCGGTACCATTACTGTTTTTGTCAATAACGTACTTATTATTTGTACTTAAACTTGGCCCTAAAGTTATGAAGTTAAGACAACCGTTGCAACTAAAGAAAGTTATAACAGTATACAATTTATTTCAAGTAGCATATTCTTGTTTTCTATTTTTCATAGTAAGTATATTTTTTACTATTAGACAAATATAGTGGCTAAAAGGAGATATCTGTATCAAAAGTATTAAAATTGACAGTTTAGTAGCCGTGTAAGAACATCTACTACCCCATTTAGTACCGTGGTTGTCGTAAGAGGCGACAAAGGAAAATAAACCAGAGGATGGGCAACAGAGTTCTCCTAATGACATCTTAATAGAAAACCGCCATTACCAACCCACTTGCCAAGCACGGCAAATATGACTAACATCCCTCCAATGAGGTAACCTATAGGGAGAGGCATATGCTGGAGTAGATTATTGAGATAGCCTCTAACGGTGAGGGTAACAGTAAATATCAGGATCAAATTATTCTAATTAAATCCTATAACTTCTGATAACGATACAGGTATTTTAGTACATGACTTATCTGAACACTGTTGCTTGAAGGCACGTCTATTCTAGGCCACAGCAATTTAAGGACGTATACGTGATTGAGCCAAACTGCAAGTATGTATCACGATGAGGTCGGCTCGACGGGGATTGTGACCACACTCGCACAGAATACCAGCGTTAAATAGCTTAATATTGCTGTGTTTTGTATGGTGAGTATAGTAGTCTATAGATCCTTTCCGGAGATCCTTTTTCCTGTAAGCTAGGCACTCTATCTTAGTCTTCAGGGATAGCATCTGCATTTTGATACTTAGTTATGGATAAATATAGATGCCTATGGGCTACAGCATCCACTTACCATCAGGTCGATTATGTGCTCGTTTGTCACCCTTATTTTAGAAAAAAAAATATTTTGCAGGATGCTGGTGGCTCAGGACCATGTTATGGCATTTTTTGGGAACGGTTTATGTTCAGTAGTAGATTTGTGAATTGCTGTTATTAATGAATATATCATAGTTATCAAAATGTTTTGTTATAGCTATGCTAATTTTATGTTGATTAATTTTAAGGGCTCCAGATTGATTTTAGCTAAAGGGCTACTGGGTTCATCATGTCTAATGGATAAAGCAGACTCTCGATGGATTGTAAGTTTAATTTATTTACGAAATTAAATGTAAAGTCATAGCATAATTCATTGTTAAGCACAAGCCTTGTATTATTTATGTTAGAGAGACGCTACATCTTCAGCCCGTGTTTGGTCTATTTCTATTATATCACAATAAACATGAGCTGTTAAATTCGGCGCTACTACGGAGACGTGGAGTAGAATCGTAGTAGTCTTATTCTTGAAGATGACTGACAGTGCTTCATTGAATAACTACAGTTCGATTTTTCTTCTGATCCGCGCCCCGTGTCACGTTTTCAAGAACTACTACAATTAGTGAATTGTAGAAGTTCTTATGTAAGTTTGTATGTAAAGTGTCACATGCAAACTTGACGACTACGAAGCAACTGAATGAGCACTTTTCCTTGCATATGTGACTAAAGCCTATGTCCTTTCAGCGGTGCTGACAGAATCGCTGAAGGACCTTAGAACCCTGCTATTGGTAGAACTTCTTTTCCGCCTAGGAGTTCGTTTGAGTAGGCACCACCTTCTTTCCTATTTCTGCTGCCAAATGGTACTTCTTGCACTGCTTTGCTTTGATCTAAGAGGTATAGAGAGCTAGTGTTATTACAGTCCTTCGGGAATTTCATTTGTCTTTTAGGTGACAAAGCATTTTGTTTGTAGTTGGCAAGCTGCAGTTCTATGGACTGCAGGAGGGGCTTTTATAAAAAAATTTTGCATTATTGAGCTCAATGACCTCAATAGTGTCTTCCATTGGAAACACGACCTGATCGGAAAATTTGTTTTTAATAAAAACGACCTGTATATACTTAAGATAAATTTCCCGATTAGGAAAATTCTACTATGAGAGATTACGACTCATCTCGTCACGTATTCCTCAAAATATTAAAACAAAAGTGCACAACACTTGCATGTTGGCAATGATGACTTATAAAACTGATACATAAGGACCATGTCTCACTGCTGGCATATGAGGGAATTTAAAGTTGCTCAACATGTTCGTAACGTTGAAACAGAGGAAGCGGCATAGCCTAATGGATCGATAAATTAAAGTAGCAATGTGTCGCCCTTAATTTACAGCGATCAACCGACAAATGACAGAAATGAAAGATTCTACAATGTCCACATGGTACTTGGAAACATTTCAAATATAAATTTGTTTTTTTGCACTTTGTTCCATTAACTCCACTTGCTGAGTTTAAAACGATACATTAAATCAATTATTTATTTTCAGATATCTACTAGCATTTATTATTACTTCTTTGCAAAAGTAACGGAGTTGATGGACACGATATTCTTCGTCTTGCGCAAGAACTATCGTCAGGTCACATTCTTGCATATATATCACCATTCCTTAATGATGTGGAGCACTTGGATTGCATTGAAATATGAACCTTCCTACAATGTCATGTTCCTTGGGACGATTAACTCCTTCGTTCATATAGTCATGTATGCTTATTATGCGTTATCGGCGTTCCCTCATCTCAATAAATATTTGTGGTGGAAAAAGTATATTACTTTGATGCAAATTGTAAGTTTAAATGAAATAATAGCTTTTTTATAATAATAATTCAACAAAAAACAGAAAACTCCACCGCTGAACATAGACCATCCTCATAGGTTGCCTCATAGCCTTATAGTTGCCACGCTTAGCAATCGGGTTGGCGACATGAGATTTTTTTATTCAGCTTTTAATCAGGAAGATGCTGCTTCCCATCTCCTATTTCTGTTTCCCTCTGTCGCCTGTAACCACATCAATGGATTTATATGGGTTTATCTTACTTTATCTACATTCACCTTAAGAAACATAGCCATTCAATGCTTGTATTTTAAACTACGCCGGTTAAGGCGACCTATTAATCTTAGTATTTGATAAAGAATTAAGTCCAGGATAATTATAAAAAGGATACTAAAGTCAAATAATTTGGCTTTCATAATTTTTGTCTACCTGTCTGTATGTACAGGATTCACGCCAAAACTGCCAAAACTACATACATATAATACTTTAAAAATGCTTCGAAATCTGGAGCTGGATTCTGCAGCTACATTAGTAGTATAGTTGTAGCGTGAAAGCGTCGGCTCGACCAGGGAAAGATCACGCTCTCACAGAATGCCAGCGTAAAATAACAGCATATTGCTGCTGTGTTTCGTACGGTGAGTGTAGAGAACCGGAGACCCTTTTTTACTGGAAACGAGGCATTCCATATTAGACCTCACGGGTGGCAACGCATCTGCGTTTTGATTCGTTATCGAGGATGGATGTAGATGTCTATGGGCTACATCAATTACTTACCATCAGGTGGACTGTGTGCAGTTTGTCACCATTATTCTATTTAAAAAAATCCTAAGTATCATTTAGGTTAATTTTTTTCCTATATGTTACTTTACGTGAAAATAACATATACATTTTAAAATTTGAGTGTAGTTGAGAGAGCTATATATATGGCCCGCACATTTCCACTTCAGTCCACTAATCCGTTGGGCTATGTCGGTTACTCTAGTTCTACTGCAGATATCTTCATTTCTAAGTTTATCACGCAGAGAAACCGGAGCATAGCATTTTCCACCGCTCACTAAGGAAGACGAGTCAGAAATCATGCAGGAAATCAATGGATGCAGGTGGTTCAGGACAGTGATTTCAAATCAAATCAAACTATTTCGGAATTTAAAAAACAAGCCTAAGTCGACTAAATTGTTTCCAATACTGAAACCAACAAAATTTCTGAAAGCCAATAAGCTTTAAGAAATTTTGTCTCTGTCTGTACATTCACGATTCATCCTAGAACTACTAAAAGTATTTGCATGAAATTTGGTTTGGTGGTAGTCAGTGACCCTAAGCAAAGTATAGGATAATTGTGATCCGCTTAAGATAATAACATGTAAATTTAAGTGTACTAGGAAGATTTAATAAAATTTCTTAAGTATGATAACATTTAGAATATTATTTGTTTCCTACCATACTTTCGTCTTTACGTGTGTTATAAAATTTAGTTTTAATGCATATAAATGGGATTATATATTAATATTATTTTCAGGACAGCCCTTACATCAGCCGAATACTGACATACATCTGACAATGATTCTTTTTTTTCAGGTGCAGTTCATGTGCATAATATTACACGCGGCAGCGAATTACGCTAATGCAGGGTGTCCACCTTCATATACATTATTAGCAGCAATCCTATTAAATGCTTTACTATTTGTTTACCTATTTGTTGAATTCTATTTCAACGCTTATGTTAATAAAAATAAACATAATTCGAATAGTAATACTAACATATCAGCAAACAGATCAGTCAATGAAAAATCAGATTAGATATATATTATTGTACAAATATTTAATTTAGATGTGTTTTAGTTTAAGTTTATGAAATAAAAAGATTATTGATATGCAGATTTTAATTACACCCACTCATTATAATTTTATACATAACTTTTTCATTATCTCATTCCAATTATAACTAGCATGTAATTTAAATTAATTTTATTACAAACATTATATAATACAAAAATTATATTAAGTGATTGGAACGAAAAATATTGTAAATAAGTAACATGGACATTTTATTTTGTGATAATAAGTAAAGTTTCATTTGAGTTGATCTAGCTGAAGAACGAGAATTACTCGTAGAATTAAGAAAAAGTTGCTGGAGGTATTTCCAAGCGTTCATAAGAGTATGTCACTTGTTATTACTATTTGGCGCATTGCACGCATTGGTGCATAGTTGTAACTGCAATTTACTTGTGAGTCATTCAGGAGCGAGGAACACACTCCTGAATGACTCACAAGTAAATTGCAGTCAAGGACAGTCGTTGTCTCTACAATAGATCGTATCACAAGAGGTGATGAAGATATCTGTAACAGTTTGTTGCTAGTCGTTGCGGCATTGTGATCACTGTGTGGAATTAAATAGATAACTTAAACGATTTCTGTGTCTTGGCACACTATACATAATGATGTTTTAGGGAAACTTTGGCAGGAAGAGTGACCAAAAGTGTTATTACTCCGTAATTATTATTATACAAAGTATGCTTTGTTAAGTACCCTTTACTGACGAGTATGTATGGTTAGGTAATATGTGGACGTAAAGGAGGCAATTTATCACAAATATTAGCAATGTCGCATAATATGTCAACCGTAAGCAAAAATTCCACGCAATTTTTGCATTTTATCCCAGACCATCCAAACTCAGATATGGAGGGGTGTAATGTAGTAAAACTAATTGCACAAAATAAACGCATAGATAGAAAATTATTTCATTTTTTAATAGCCTTAAAATCGCTTTAAAAGATCATGCAGCCAAAATTGTCTTACCGAACTTAATTAAGTTTACTAAAATGGCATGTCCCTTAGTAAAGAAACCGAGTAAAAGAAACAGCGTCTGAAACTGGTCTTCGCTTATGATCCCTTATCGAGTAAACTCCTAAAACAATCATGCCTGATGAAGATATCACTGGATTTGTTATCTCAGTTTTATGTTTCATTATTAGTTTTATGTGAGATTTACATGGGTTTACATTTTAAAGTTCAAAATGTTTCGCGGTGTACCGGGGAAATGCTTAACTTTAACATGCTGTGGATTAAGAGAATGAGTGGCCTTTTTGTGTTCTAATGTGTTGACGAGTTTGACGAGTTGACGAGTAGCAGTTTGATCTGAATTCTGTGTGGTCGACAGAATTTGTGTTTGTGTGAAGCTGGTCGAAGGGACAATGTCGTCCGGCCCAGAGAACCGAGCAGTTGGTCGTAGGGACTTACTAGTTTGCTGTTGTATGTGATGGCTTGAGAGAAAGGTGCCGTCCAGTCCATGCGTGGTCGAATGGACGCACACTTTCGATTATTGTATCATTGAGGATGTTAGTATATCTACAAGAGAGTTTGTATTGTTTAAGCGTATATCTTCTATTGATGCTAACAGTGCCGTGCAAGCTGTACAAAGAGCTGTATGTCTGTGTGTGCTTAGTGGAAAGATCCAGTTGTCCGGTTCATGTTGTCATATGAGATGACGACTGGTCGAAGGGATGCAGTCGCTCGCTGAGTTAGTTGTCGTCATATGAGATGAGAGTTACATTAAAAATGGGCCATATCAAGAGTACCTTTAACCGACGAGCGTGTATGCGTAGGTATATGAATGTGGAGGAAGCGAGAGAGGTGTGTCAGGATCGTGCCAAATGGAAGTCCATAATCTCTGCCTACCCCTCTGGGTGACAGGCGTGAGTGTTTATGTATATGTATTTATGTTATGTAAAATTAAACCCAAGCATACCACTGCAAGACTTCAAGACACAGATAGTTCATTCTGCGTAGATCGGAACAAATTTATAAATTAAAAAAGCTGAAGGTACTCCGGTTTAACACTGACATCGGGACGTCAACCACCTCAGTCCCCCGTGACCACGGTTGATGGAAAGCAACCGAAACGTCGGGAATATAAAATAAGTTAATTAAACGCGATAAAATCCGTAAAAATAGTTTTATTAAATTTGTTTAATTTTATAGGTAGCCTCACTTTTTCAGAGATTATTGGGATTTTTTCATTTTGTATTAAACTCCAACAAAAACAGTCATGTTCATTCGGTTACATGTTTTTGAATAAATAAAAAATGTTATAATTATTATTATTTATTTTAGACCTGTCATCGTAAAAAATCTGTTAATTTTTGAAATTATACAGTTTCGTTTACTAAACTAATTTTGGTGAACCTTTTAACCGCTCCCTTAGTAGTTCCAGATGCAGCAGCACTGCAATCATTTATCGATAGTCAATGACACATTAAAATTAGTCGTCTATACAGCACGACTAAATACAATAAACATAAGCTATTTTAAAGCTGAACCGAAAAGATTTATCGTAAACGACATTTGCCTTAACTCAGTGCTAACGTGTTGAAAGGACTATAATTTTAACAGTGAAATAATTTACCAGTATGGATTTAAAACTCGCAAAAAATAACCGAGCCTTTCCGGAGCATAGTTTTTGGGATTTTAAAGGCAAAGGTAAGAAGATTTATTTGCATTTTTCAAATCTCCTTAAAACGACAAATATTTATTTAATTGCCTTTTTCTTATAATGTTGATATGAAAAAGCGTAGACACAAATTAAATATAATTCATAAATAATTTATACAAAAGATATAGATCTGAGATGAAATATTTCGCTTAATTAATGAAAATAATTATAAGTATAATTAATGATAATAATAATAAGTATTATTATTTAACTTGACTTTCACATAATATATTTAATGATATTGCATAGAAATTTGACTATAAAGTCAAGGAAAAAATTTTATTCAGTGTTTTTATCAATATTATTTTTTATTAATTGTATTTACTAATCGTACCGTGTAGTGGCAGTGCAGTGTATAGTCTCATGAGTGTCATAAGAAACGATAGAAGGTAACAAACCATGAGATGGGCAGCAGCGCCTACTTATTAACAGCTAATACATAACGCCTGCGGTAACCAACCCGTCTACCAAGCGTGGTAACATGGAAAATACCACCTATGAGGCAATTTATGGAGGAGGCTTATGTTAATACTTAGACAGTTAGATATATTCACACATAGGTTTATAGTCTATTGTGTGCTTAAATTAAAATTATGTCTTTACAGTCAACTGGACTCAGTTCGCCGGTAAATGTGTGTCGTAAGAGGCGGCAGAGGAAAACTAAAACAGGAGATGGGCAGTAGCATCTTCCTAAAAGTAACTCAAAATAAAAAAAAATGTGTGGTTGCCAATCCGGCTTCAAGCGTGGCAACTATATTTCCAACTATCTGATGCGGAGGTTTATATTCAGCAGTGGACTTTGAAAGGCTGGGATGATAATGGTGAAGACAGCCGGTTATTTCTATCGATTTAGCATGTAATAGCGTAACTTATTGAATGCAGTGTTTGATTGTAACTTATTAACTTAGCTATTAAATTCAGCGTCTGATCACTCGCCGGTCGTGTCGGATTCCATCAGATCGGACTATCAGAGTGAGAGAATATGAAGTGCACCCATGCTAGTGCATACATCTAATACTGATATTAAATGTATGCACAAGCATACACTCACTATACGAAATACAGCAGTGTTAAGCGTAAAATACCAGCTTAACACTGCTGTGTTTCGTATAGTGAGTGTAGAGAACCGGAGACCCATTTTACTGGAAAAAAGGGGAATTCCATCTTAGTTTTCACGGGTGACGACGCATCGCATTTTGATTATTTATTGAGGATGAATGTAATTGTATATGGGTCACTACCATATGTGCTCGTTTCTTACCCTATTCTATAAAAAAAAAAAACACTCAGGCAATATATAATCCTGTCTTGTGCAGATGGATTCTCCGTCTAGTCTCACTAGCCGTCGTGACCGAAATTTGGCCTGTAGGACACTAATAATATTATTTTATGTGTTTACTGGGTTCTTTCAAATAATTTTATTGTTTTGTTCACTTTTCGCTTATGATAACTTCAAATATTGGATAGCAAGCATCCGTTACGTTTAGAACAGTTGGTAATTTAAATCGTATTGTACCATTTTATTATTTTGTACAGATTGATAATAATTTCTAAGGACTTATCGATTAACATAAAATCAACACTAATGTAACAGCAATAAAACTTTGAAATATTAACAGTTGTTTTAAATGTACTATACAAATAACAGTTTTAAAACTGAAATAAATTTAAAATGTAACTTTAGCCGATCTTAATTAATTGTTAAAAGACTAAACTCCAAAGAAGTATGTATATGCGGTGAAAATTAACATACCAAAACATTTTTAACTTTTGTACTATTAAAATATTAACAAATGATTAAGCTTGATTATATGAAAAAGACAAATATTGGCAATTTTCTGTTTTCTTCCTTCTGTTGGTTGTATTTGTTTAATCTGAACACTTTGCTTTAGGAATAGGAGCGTAAAATAGTAGCTTAGCACTGCTGTGTTTCGTATGGTGAGTGTAGAGAACCGGAGACCCTTTTTACTGGAAAAGAGGCATTCCATCTTAGTCCTCACGGGTGACAACACATCTGCATTTTGATTCGCAAACGAGGATAGATGTAGATGTCTATGGGCCACAGCAACCACTTACCATCAGGTGGAATGTGTGCTCGTTTGTCACCCTATCCTATAAAAAAAATTGTTTTGTTTTTATTCTTTAAATCATTCATTATAGTATATCAAGAGACCAGTGCTGAACATTGACCACCAGTATAGATTGGCTACAAGAGGAGATATTTGTCGTAGTTGGTACTCTTTTTATATAATATGTGTGACAAACGAGCACACTGTCCACTTGATTCGTGTAGAGGCGAAACACGTAAGTAAGCGGGTAGCCACCGTAGAGTCTATATCACCTGAGGATGCCTCGTGTAGAGGCGAAACACGTGTCGCATTATCGTCAGTGGTGTGTCTTGCCTAGTGTAGTGGTGTTGGGAGAAGCGGTGCTGGGATTAGTGGTGACGGGGATAGTGCACGCAATTGAGAGAGGGCGGGAGGTGCTCTTCATACTAGGTAAGATACATCATTTTATTTTGTAACGCGGATATTTTCGAAGTACATTTTTCTAAAAGCTGTTATATCAGCTAAATCGTCTATTTTTAATATTTTGGAGCCGAAATTGAGTCGCAATAGTTTTCCATAAACATGTCTAAATTTTGAGAAGATGCGTGTGTGAGAGATTTGAACGTAAACATTTTTTTCTAAATATGCGTAGCTATAGTTCTATTATCTTGATAACGATCTACTAATAATTGCCATATTATATAATAAATTATTAAATAATTTATTTACATACATAATTCTAAATATTATATTGTTTGTTTAAAATATTTTTTAATTTATAATTTTAATTTCTTTCAGTTGACTACGTTGATGAATGGTTTCTAATGAAATCGCCGGTACCATTACTGTTTTTGTCAATAACGTACTTATTATTTGTACTTAAACTTGGCCCTAAAGTTATGAAGTTAAGACAACCGTTCCAACTAAGAAGGGTTATAATAGTATACAATTTATTTCAAGTGGCATATTCTTGTTTTCTTTTTTACAAAGTAAGTTTATTTTTAATATTAGATAAATATGCTGTTGCTAGCTGAAGTGAAATTTCTGTATCAAAATTATTAAAATTGAGAGTGTAGCAGCGGTGTAAGAATATCTACTACCCTATTTAATCGCGTGGTTGTCGTAAGAGGCGACAGAGGAAAATAAACTAGAAGATGGGCAGCAGAGTTTTCCTAGTTACAACTTAAGGGGACTACAGGAGCTAAACGCTAAAGTATAGTAAACTAAAGTTTTATATTGACTTAAAGTATATGATCCAATGCAGTAAACTAAATCTGAAAAATATATGATATTTATTAGTATGTATGCTAGTTAGATAGTGTGATGAAAACATGATACTACTAATTTGATACGACAGAGAAAAACCATAAAGATACCTTTAAAATTTTTTTAACCAGTAAAAACCATACTAATATACATGCAATCATTTTGATTTTTTGTCAGATTATTCTACATGCAACATATTAACGTAATACTGTTTTAATTTTTTAATGAAATTAATACATTTTTTTTAAATCGCAATTTCTTATTTCTGAAATAATACGTACGGATGTGTGCGTAAACGCCTGTGTACCGTAACGACTACCGACAGTCCGACTGGAGGTGGGCAAAGTGTATCATTTTTGCGATTGGAACATTTGCATCTTGATCACTGAAATGTTCCGAAAAACTGATATGTTTCATTTGGCTCATTTGGATCATCGACTCAAAAGATATAAAAGAAAGAATGTTCCGAATACATTAAGTTGCGTCACGGGCGTTTATTACTGACTAATCTGTGAAATGTTATGTGGCAACAATGCTGAATAATATAAGTGCTTAGATTATTTACTGTGTACCGTAATAAGATTTTATATAAAATCGATTCTCCTTCATACTTTAACAAAAATGTCACTATATCAATTCATTATTTACAAAACTGTCCATTTACACAAAACAGCAATGTCTATGTACACAGAATTTACTCGTAAAGTATCATAACTCTAAACTTTATGATGAAAAGGAATAAAGTAAAGTCACAATAATCACTACGCCAAGAAATCCTAAACATAACTCAGTATGTTTTCGTAAACAGGCGCTAATGAATATAAACAATTTGACAAGTGCCGCATTAACGTAAAATGACAACTTGTTAATGCAAACATAACATGCAAAAAACGACCGTATAGTATTTGACACATAAGCGCCTTAGTGGTAATTTTTACGTGCATGAATAACGTCAGCGAAAATCCGTACGAGTTGATTGATACACTTCTTATTTGTTATCTCTATCTGACTTCTGTGGATTATAATTATTTCGCCCGCTCACTCACCACTCGTGAGTCAATAGTTAAGTAAATCATTGTCTCAGTCTGTCTCTCTCGTTCGTGGCTCAGTCGCCTCGCAAGCGACGCGTCGCGCGAAATGAGCAAAGAGCAAAGTAATGTTTCACTGTTCCAGATCCAAATGATACATTTGAAACGTTGTTACTGAACCAATCTTTTGTGTCACTTCAGTGATTCGTATCAGTGAGTCGTTTCCGTAACACACGCCTAAGTCCGACACTGCTGGCCGAGGCCCGATGCTATACAGACGTGTCGCTCTTTTTGCCGCATTATTTACGTAAAGATTGTTTAATGGTTTTGTATAATTTTATGTTGAAATTCGTTGTTTCATATTCATAAATATTATTCTTTCGTGTAAATATAAAATATTTTAAGTTTAGATTAATTTAAATTAAGTTAATAATTTTAATTGGTAAATATGGGAAATAAAGTGAAACCCGCCACATAGAACGATATTAAACAATAAAAAACATATGAACGATGTTAAAAGTTAAGAACATTTTATTATTACTAAATATTTATTTTTATAACAATAAACTTAATGATTTGGAAACGTAATGTATATACCTGAGTACTTGGGTTCGATTCCAGAAATATGAAGTCAAATTTTATTGTTTATTTTTTATTTGAAGTATTATGTATTTAGATAAATTAATTGAATATTTATTATAAATAATAACTAAAAAATATATATTTATTTTCATAACAATAAACCTATGAATTTAGGAAACTTAGTGTATTACAGTAGTGGAGTTATGGATTTGCAGTTTGCACTCGAAAGCCCGGGTTCGATTCCAGGAATATGAAGTCAAATTTTATTTTTTATTTTAAGTATTACATATTTAGATAAATTTATTAATTACTTTAATAAATAATAACTTAAAAAACCGTATGAAATGTAATTATTGTTTACAGGAGAATAGTTAGTATTTCCAATGAAAAAACATGGAAAAGTTGTAGGTGCCTACAACTTTTCTAAGCTATAATAACAATAAAATAAAACTAAAACTACCTAATGTTTTATCAAAAGACCGCGGCTTATTGATAAATAACAAATAGGCATGACAAAAAACAGAATCATCTAAAAATTGCGATGCTACTTATCATGTAAGAGTTTAGTTTTATTGATTTTGTTTATAATTAGGAATTATAATATATGAATGTTAGGTATTTTACTGGTAGCTTAACAATTTTACAAAGGCAAATACAAGAAATAAACGAAATTTAAATTTTTATTACCTATCTTGTGAACCATAGCACTAGAATATTTAGAATTGACATAATTTTTAAATAATTTGTCATTGTTCAATTTTTTCCATAGATTCCATTTCGTGAATCCGGATGAAATCCAAACCCGGACTCGTAGGTAAACAGCACGAAAGACCATTATTGTACAAGGAAATAAGTAAACGCCGAAAATACAAAATTTGTTCTTTTCCACAAGTTTACTAATATATTCTGTTTATTTCCTGGGTCTCTTTACAATAAAATAAGCGAAAATGTCCAATATATGGGTTATCATTCTATAACTGCAAGAAGACTGTTCACTCATACCTTCAAAACGAATCTTATGACGAAACAGAAAAATACCTAAACTGGTTGTTTAATAGCTTATTTGAATTACCTACTCTCGCTCCCACAAACACACACACGCGCACGCAAATATACATACACACGCACACACTCACACACAGTCACACATACATATTTTTTTTTTATAGGAGAGGGGGCAAACGAGCATGCGGCTCACCTGATGGTAAGTGACTACCGCCGCCCATGAACAACATGAATGTTACCAGTTAGCAACATATCATTGATATGCAGAAGAAACAGCGTTGGTGATAGCACACAGCCTTGTGTAGCACCAGCGTTAATAGGCTTGTAGTCAGAACATGCACCGTCTACAACGACCTTGATGCTCCGATCTGCAAGGAAGCTGGTGATCCAATTGCACAATTTCTCGGGAAGCCCATAGGAAGGGAGCTTTGAAAGAAGCGCTTTGTGCCGAACCCGATCGAAGGCCTTCGCAATTTCCAGACTAACGGCCAACGCCTCCCCCTTGGACTCTACTGCCTCCGCCCATCTATGAGTCAGGTAGACCAGAAGATCACCAGCTGATCGACACCGACGAAAACCGTATTGGCGGTCACTAATCAGCTGGTGATCCTCAAGGTACCGGATGAGCTGGCAGTTAATAATGGATTCCATTATTTTGGAGAACAAGGAGGTGATCGCGATTGGCCTATAGTTGGACGGGTCTGAGCGGTCGCCTTTTTTAGAGATCGGGTGGACAAAAGCTGTCTTCCATGAATTCGGGACTACGCCTTGGAAGTAGGAGTACCGGAAAAGATGCGTTAGGACCGGTGCCAACTCCGGAGCACACGTCCTCAGCACAATTGGGGGATTCCGTCAGGCCCACTCGACTTCTGGATGTCCATGGAGAGAAGTGCTTTGCGAACCGAGCGCTGTGAGAACAGCACATCCGGCATGGAGTACTCACACCGCGGGATGGTCGGCGGTGTTTTCCCTCCGTCATCAAGAGTCGAGTTGGACGCAAAAAGGGAGCCTAAAAGGTCAGCTTTGTCTTTTGCGTCTTGGGCCAGTGAGTCGTCCTCCCTGTGCAGAGATGGTAGTGATGGCTTACAGAAATTCCGTTGGACAGCCTTGGCGAGAGACCAGAATGCACGGGTTCCTGAAGGAAGGCGAACTAGTTTCTCGCCAATTCTGCCTATGTGCTCTGACTTTGCCTTGGCAATAACTATTTTGAAGGACCTGGAGGCGAAGTTATACTTCTTTTTAAGTGAGCTGGTGTTTACATCCCGAGTCGCCGAAGCCGCAGCCCAGGCTTGATAACACTCCTGCTTACTGCGTAATGCAGTCTTACAGGAGCGACCAAACGAAGGCTGAGATCTTCCTCCGATGGGTACTACAGATGATGGAATAAATAGTTCCATTCCCTGTAGCACCACATCAGTGACAGAGTCAGCAACAGCGCTGGGATCATCCGGCGAGAAGCAAACCCGCCCCCATGGGTAGGATGCAAAGAAAGACCGCATTCCATCCCAATCCGCCGACCTGTAATGCCAAACACGGCGGCAACCTGCAGAACGCAACCGCGGAGGGAGCGTGAGTGGCACCACACTCCGGATCAGACAATGGTCTGAAGAGCCGAGAGGGGCATCGACGGAAACCTGATATCCGTTCGGATGAGAGGCCAGCAGAAGGTCCAACAGGGAAGGTGTATGATCCTCCACATCTGGAATCCGCGTAGGCGAAGTAACCAGTTGTGTCAGACCATATGCCAAGGCAAAGTCATAAACAGATCTCCCCGCATGATTGGTTAGACGTGAACCGAGCCATTCGTCATGGTGGGCGTTAAAATCGCCAAGGATCACGATCTCTGCGGATGGGACCTGTTGTAGCAAGAAATCTGTAGCCATTTGGACGTGGTCGATGAGTCGGTCTGTTTCGGCATTTCCGCTATGGAACCTATAGAGGCACCCATAGACGCGCGGATGGTCGTCGCTGTCTACGCGTAGCCAAAGGATGGACAGGTCCGAACCTTCGCCGTCTCGAGATGGTAGTGGACGGCGTTTAGGTTAGAGTGAAGTCCCCTGATGTTGCAGAAATTCACGGATAGCGTGGCAGGGGTCGCCTTGGTATTGTTGCTCAGTTTGCCCCGAGCAGTTATGTTTTTGAGCGGAATTTTGCCCCCCCCCCCCCAGAATACGTGGGGCAGCCTGAGCACCCACGCTCAGGATTGGAATAACATGGTCGTGGATGCTCAGCGAGGGATTCTCCAGGGGTGCTGGTACCCTCCTGGGGTAGTCTTGCGTGTAATTCCGCTACCATGTTGAAGGGGGGGGGGGATGGATTGGGCCTCCGGCCACCTGAACTCACCAGACGAAACGCAGAAGCAGAGCCTCCACTTCACGCCGGTACTCTGTGAGGTCGCGGTACCAACCCGGCTCGAGCCGGCCCATACGTGCAACAGCACAAACTGCTGCGTGGCTCTACCACCGTTGTAAAATTGAGACATATATGCATATATGTCTCAATTTTATATTTAATAATTTGAAAACTAGCTTTTGTTGTCATTGTAGCACTTACAACTCTAAGTATGTATTTATTATATACCTACTATTACGGGGATTGAGACTTTTACTCCTTCACACAGGTTATTCTGTAACCTAACTAAGAGAGCAGAGTTACATCCACTAGATTGAATATAATATTTTATAGATAGTACAAACGATGTAATGTCCTACCCATATACTACAATCAATTTATATAAATAAAGTTTATTACTATTACTATATAAATAAAAATGTTTTAAGTTTCATTGAATCAGTTTCATTTTAAAATCACCCAATTCCATAAATTATCAAGTAACAATAAATTAATATTAAAAATAATTTCATTGTCCCATCTATTTCTTTGTTAGATCTTTATCTTACTTGCGTTTTGTCTATTACAACATTCGGGCGTAACCTCGCTAATCCGTTAGTGTTAAACCTCACTGTCGTTAGATGGCACTCACATTGATTCTGTAAATGTGTCATTTGGGTCTTGTAATCCTCTTAAAAGAAAGCCCCGGTTACCAACCTGCCTGCCAAGTATAGCAAATATGACAAATATTCCTTCTATGGGGTAATTTATGGGGGAGGCATATGTTTAGCAGTGGATTTATCATAGGCTGTAACGGTAAGGGTAACAGTAAATATGAGGATTAAATTATTCTAATTCAATCCTAGAACTTCTGATAACGATATACGTATTTTGGTACATGACTTATCCAAACACTGTTGTTAAAAGCACGTCTATTCTAGGCCACAGCAATTTAAAGACATACAAATTTAGTTCTTTTTCAACTGGACACTTCATAACATCCATCGATATAATTAACTACTAAACCAAGAAGAAGTAAAACATCTCACAGCTAAACATATCCTGCAATTATTTGCAACTGTTGGTTTTTATACGTGCTAAGTCACGCTGTATACGTGGTTGAGCCTAACTGCAAGTATGTGGCACGAAAAGGTCGGCTTGACTCGGAGTAAAACCACACTTTCACAGAATACCAGCATAAAATAGCTTAATGCTGCTGTGTTTTGTATGGTGAGTATAGAGTACCGGAGATCCTTTTCCCTGTAAGCTAGGCATTCTATCTTAGTCATCAGGGATAGCATCTGCATTTTGATACTTATGGGCTGGCTGCAGCCCACAGTATAGGGTGCTGACCACAGGGTGCTGACCCACATACCATCAGGTCGATTATGTGCTGGTTTTTCACCCTTATTCTATAAAAAAAAATATTTTGCAGGATGCTGGTGGCATAGGACCGTGCTAAGGCATTTCGTGGTTTCTGTTCAGTAGTGGATTGTGAATTGCTTCTATCAATGAATTAATGAATATACCATAGTCATCAAAATCATCATCATCATCATCATCATTACAGCCCTTCACAAGTCCACTGCTGAACATAGGCCTCCCCCAAAGAATGCCACAAAACACGGTCCTGAGCCACCTGCATCCATCGACTTCCTGCATGTCTTACCAGGTCGTCACTCCATCTCGTGGGGGGACGCCCTACACTTCGCCTACCGGTACGAGGCTGCCACTCGAGACCCTTTCTTCCCCATCGGTTGTCGGTTCTTCGAGCTATATGGCCGGCCCACTGCCACTTCAGCTTACTAATCCGTTGGGCTATGTCGGTCACTCTGGTTCTACTGCGGATATCCTCATTCCTAAGTTTATCACGCAGAGAAACTCCGAGCATAGCCCTCTCCATAGCTCGCTGAGCGACCTTGAGCTTCCTCATACGGCCAGCAGTGAAGGACCACGTCTCAGTTCCGTAAGTCATCACTGGCAACACGCACTGGTTGTACAATTTCGTTTTAAGGTTTTGAGGTATGTCTGACGAGAAGATGTGTCGTAGCTTCCCGAACGCTGCCCAGCCGAGTTGAATCCGTCGATTGACCTCTCGGTCGAAGTTGGACTTACCCAGTCGGACTATTTGTCCCAGGTAAACATACTCGTCAACAACTTCGAGCTTAGTGTTCCCAACAACTATCGGCATAGGTGTGACATGGACATTAAACATGATCTTAGTTTTGTCCATGTTCATCTTAAGACCTATCCGTTGGGAAACACTATTGAGGTCATTGAGCATAGTGCTTAGGTCCTCCAGCGATTCTGCCATAAGGACAATATCGTCGGCAAATCGAAGGTGAGTGATGTACTCGCCATTGATGTTGATACCGTATCCTTTCCAGTCCAGAAGCTTGAAAACGTCTTCCAATGCAGCGGTGAAGAGTTTCGGGGATATGACGTCACCCTGTCTTACACCTCTCTGCAATTGGATAGGTTTCGTACTCTGGTTCTGTACTCGGATAGCCATCGTAGCCCTACTGTACAAGCACTTCAACACTTCGATATACCGACAGTCAACTTGGCACCGCTGAAGGGACTGCAGCACCGCCCAAATTTCGACGGAATCAAAGGCTTTCTCATAGTCCACATACGCCAGACATAGTGGCAAATTGTACTCTTCGGACTTCTGTACAACTTGCCGAAGGGTATGTATGTGGTCTATGGTGCTAAAGCCCTTTCGGAAACCGGCTTGTTCGGGAGGCTGGAAGTCGTCAAGTCTGCGCGCGAGACGATTCGTAATGACTCTCGAAAACAGCACGTAGACGCGGCTCAGAAGGGAAATCGGTCTGTAGTTCTTCAAGAGAGCGTTGTCACCTTTCTTGAAGAACAAGACCACCGCACTTCTGCTCCACGCCTCCGGTGTAATGCCACCATGGAGGACGGAATTAAAGAGCTTCTGAAGGACTTCAAGTACCGGTCTTCCACCCGCTTTCAGAAGCTCCGCTGTAATTCCATCCTCGCCTGGGGCCTTACCGTTTTTAAGGTGCTGGAGAGCCATCCTAATCTCGCTCAGACTGACATCCGGGATATCTTCGGAATATTGTCGGATGAGACTCGCTCTTGGATCGTTACTCACACTTGCGTGTGGCTCCAACGATGATGTGTACAGCTGCCCATAGAACCTCTCAATCTCACTCAAAATCTCAGGTGTCCCGGAAACGATGCTGCCACATTCTGTCTTCAGCTTTGACAGTTGGCTCTTTCTGGCAGACAGATCTCTGGCAAAGACTTTGGAGCCTTGGTTCCGCTCGATCGCTTCTTCAATACGAGCTGTATTGAAGTTGCGTAAGTCCCGCCGCATGCATTTGGAGATCTGTCTGTTCAGATGCCTGTATGCTGTCAAGTCTGTTGAAGAATGTAGCTTCATCTCCCGTCTAACAGCCATGAGATTAAGAGTGTGATCGGAGAGTTTTTGTGTTCTTCTGCGGCGGGTCTTGCAGAACTTAGCTCCAACCGCATGGACAGTTTCCACGAGCTTGTCATTCATATCGTCCACTTCATTGCAGTCTTCTAGGCACTGAAAACGGTTTTGTAACTCGAGCTGAAAGGTTTCGGGACTTTGAAACAGAGCACGAGGGGGACGGAGCGTTGACTTCATTAGACGAGACCTCTCCAACTTAACGTTTAGGTTCAGTGTGCCTCTAACCATTCGGTGATCGCTACCAGTTTTCACCCTCGCGATCACGGAGACATCACTGAACAGTTGTCGTCTGGTCGTCATAATGAAGTCAATCTCATTTTTTGTGGAACCGTCGGGGCTCGACCAGGTCCACTTCCTGTGGGGCCGCTTCTGGAAGAAAGAGTTCATCATAAAGAGTCCCTCTTTCTCCATGAAGTCGGCCAGCTGCTGGCCCCTTGGGTTCCGTTGCCCTATTCCAAATTTCCCTACTTTCAGCTCACCGTTCTCTCTTGTGCCTAGTTTTGCATTGAAGTCTCCCATTAACACCGTATATTGGGTTTTGGAGGAATGCATGGCTCTAGAGATATCCTCATACATTTCCTCCACCTCCCCATCGGGGTGTGCCGAGGTTGGTGCGTAAACCTGTATGACCTTCAGCGAATACCGTTTGGTGATTCTGAGTATAAGGTACGCAACCCTCGTCGACACACTCCCGATCTTTACAACGTTGTTAACGAGAGACTTGTGGACGATAAATCCGACACCTCCTTGGGACAGATGGTCTCCCTCCCGGTGATAGAGCAAGTTGCCGGATTCGAGGATTACCGTGTCCTCCCCCTCTCTTCGGACTTCAGATAATCCTATAATATGCCAGCGCAACTTGTCTATCTCTTCTTCCAGCTCCACGATCTTCTCGTCAGTCCTCAGGGTGCGTGCGTTGTACGTTGCCAGGTCGAGTCGTCTAAGGTGGCAACCGAACCTCCACCGGAGATTCTTAGCACCCCCTGCCCCGCCGTTACCATGGTCGCCACCGTAGCCAGGAATAGCGGGGCCGCCGGGGACTGGGGGCCGTTTTTTTGTTGCTCTCATCATTGGGGGGTATTTGCCATAGTTGCCACGCTTGGCGAGCGGGTTGGCAACCGCAGTTTTTTTATTGTCATTTGGCTATTATCAGGAAGAGTCAGTCATCAAAATATCTTATTATAACTATGCTTATATTATGTTAATTAATTTTTAGTGTTCCAGACTGATTTTAGCTCACGGGCTACTGAGTGCGTCATGTTTAATGGATAAAGAAGACTCTCGATGGATTGTAAGTTGCATTTTATTTACGAAATTAAAAGTTAAGTCATAGCATAATACATTGTTATACACAAGCGTCGTATTATTTATGTTAGAAAGACGCTACGTTTCCAGCCAGTGTTTTGTCTATTTCTATTACACAAAAATAAACAAAAGCTGTTAAATTCGGAGCTACTAAGGAGTTGTGGAGCAGAAGGGTAGTATTATTCTTGAAAAAGATCGACAGTGCTTCATTGAATAACTACAGACCGATTTTTCTTCTGATCCGTGCCCCGTGTCGCGTTTTCAAGAACAACTACAATTAACTACTACAATTAGTGAATTGTAGTTGTTCTTATGTAAATTTGTATGTAAAGTGTCACATGCAAACTTGACGAATTCGGAGCTACTGAACGAGCACATGTCCTTTAAGCGGTGCTGACAGAATCGCTGGAGGAAATTAGCATCCTGCTATTGGTAGGTGGTAAACTTTCTTTTATGCCTAGGAGTTCGTTTAAGTAGGCACCACCTTCTATACTATTTCTGCTGCCAAATTACACTTCTCGCACTGCTATGTTTTGGTCTGGAGAGATATAGAGTGCCAGTGTTATTACAGGCCTTCAGGAATTCCATTTCAGTATTTTAGGTGACAACGCATCTATAGCCTTCATTGTTTGCAGTTGGCAAGCTGCATGTCATGCACTGCAGGAGCGGCTTTTATAAAAATAATGCTCAATGACCTTAATTGTATCTTCCAACGGAAACAAATTTTCCGATTAGGAAAATTCTACTTCGAGAGATTACGACTCATCTCGTCACGTATTCCTCAAAATATTAAAACAAAAGTGCAAAACCCTTGCATGTTGCCAATGATAACATATAAAACTGATATATAAGGACTATGTCTCACTGCTTGCATATGAGGAAACTTAAGGCCGCTCACCAAGTCCGTAACGTTGATGTGCGCAGTAGAACCAGAGGAACCGACATAGCCTAATGGATCGGTAAACTAAAGTAGCAATGTGTCGCCTATAATTTACGGCGTCCAACCGACAAACGACATAAATGAAAGATTCTACAATGCAAACATGTTACTTGGAAACTTTTCAAACACAAATTTGTTTTTGCACTTTGCATCACTGACTCCACTTGCTAACATTAAATCTATTATTTATTTTCAGGTATCTACTACCATTTATTATTACTTCTTTGCAAAAGTAACAGAGTTGATGGACACGATTTTCTTCGTCTTGCGCAAGAACTATCGTCAGGTCACATTCTTGCATATATATCACCATTCCTTAATGATGTGGAGCACTTGGATTGCTTTGAAATATGAACCATCCTACAGTGTCACATTCCTTGGGACGATTAACTCTTTCGTTCATATAATCATGTATGCCTATTATGCGTTATCGGCGTTCCCTCGTCTCAATAAATATTTGTGGTGGAAAAAGTATATTACTTTGATGCAAATTGTAAGTTTTAATTAAATAATAGCTTTTTATAATAATAATTCAACAGACAACAGAAAAGTCCACGGCTGAACATAGACCATCCTCATAGGTTGCCTCATAGAAGAATATTTGCCTTATAGTTGCCACGCTTGGCAATCGGGTTGGCGACAGGCGATTTTTTTATTCAGCTTTTAATCAGGAAAATGCTGCTGCACATCTCCTATTTCTGTTTCCCTCTGTCGCCTCTAACCACATCAATGGATTTATGTGGGTTTATCTTACTTCATCTACATTCACCATAAGAAACATAGCCATTCAATGCTTGTATGCCAGTGGAGGCGACCTATTAATCTTAGTATTTGATAAAGAATTAAGTCAAGGATGATTATATAAAGGATAATAAAGTCCAATAATTTGGCTTTCATAATTTTTGTCTACCTGTCTGTATATACAGGATTCACACCAAAAGTGTCAAAACCACATACATATAATACTTTAAAAATGCTTCGAAATCTGGTTTGGTGGTATTACGTGATCTTTACGTGATAGAACCATTCTGCAGCTACATTAGTAGTATAGTTGTAGCACGAAAGGGTCGGCTCGACTAGGAAAGGACCACGCTCTCACAGAAACCAGCGTAAAATAGCAGCATATCGCTGCTGTGTTTCGTATGGTGAGTGTAGAGAACCGGAGACCATTTTTTACTGAAAACGAAGTATTCCGTCTTAGTCCTCACGGGAGCAACACATCAGAATTTTGATTCGTTATCGAGGATCGATGTAGATGTCTATGGGCTACATCAATAACTTACCAACAGGTGGACTGTATGCTCGTTTGTCACCATTATTCTATATAAAAAAAGCCTAGGCATCATATAGGTTAATTTTTTCCTACATGTTGCTTTACTTTAAAAATTTACGTATTAGAGTGAAAATAACATATAAATTTTAAAATTTGAGTAGGTATATTGGAGAGAGCTACATATATGGCTTGCACATATCCACTTCAGTTCACTAATCCGTTGGGCTATGTCGGTTACTCTAGTTCTGCTGCAGATATCTTCATTTCTAAGTTTATCACGCAGAGAAACCGAAGCACAGCCCTTTTCATAGCTCGCTAAGGGAGTCGAGTCGGAGACATGCAGGAAATCAATAGATGCAGGTGGCTCAGGACCGTGATTTCAAATCAAATCATACTATAACAGAATTTAAAAAACAAGCCCAGGGCGACTAAATGAAGAATACTGAAAGAAACAAAATGTTTGAAAGCCAATAAGCTTTAAGAAATTTTGTCTCCCTGTCTGTATTTAACGATTAATTTTAAAACTACTAAAAGTATTTGCATGAATTTTGGTTTGGTGGTAGTCAGTGACCCTAAGTAACGTATAGGGCCGCGCTGTCGTCGCGCCACAAGCGAAGCACATCGAAGCCTAACTCGCGCTAACAAAGTTCCGAAAAGTTCCGTTAAAGCAGCATAATATATAGAATAGCTCTGAACTACCAATAGGAGCGTTGGCTGCTCCCCGGGCAGAACACCTTGCCCGTCGGGAGATCTCCCATTTTCCTTCCAATCGCCACATTGGTGGCCACCCGACGTGATATGAACACGCAACCAACAACGTTCGGAAACTTCAACTTCAAAACCTTCGTCATCGTCCTCAAGTACCCCATTCATTCGCTCCCGAGCAGATATTGTCTGCAGTCTTCACATTCTGCAAGCCATCTAGCTTTACGAAGGTTCATCGCAGCATTGGAATAATAATGCTTCCTGTTTCTTCAAGCTACTCTCTGCGCTACAGTGTTCGGCACGGCTCTTAGCCTTACTGCTTGCCTCTGCCTCACGGCACTCTCGCAGATTACTTGCCTTCTTCTCGACTTACCGCAGACTACAAGGCAATCCTTGGCACTTGCTCCGGCTCATAGTTCTTACCGGCATAACTTGCAAGTGCGTAGTATGGCATGCATTACACACCGGTATATCGTTCGCACCGGCGTCACTTGGCCTTACGCAAACAGCATACATTCCCCACCGGCATTAAGGACGCACCGGCAATCGGACTGTACTATCGACCTCCAGTCTGAGCATGTGATGTGGCGGCGCTGTCGTTGCACCACAAGCGAAGCACATCGAAGCCTAAATCGCGCTAACAAAGTTCAGAAGTTAAAGCAGCATAAATAGAATAGCTCCGAAGTAGCAATCGGAGCGTTGGCCGCTCCCCGAGCAGAACACCTAACCCGGCGGGAGATCTCCCCTTTTCCTTCCACCGGCCACAGAGTAATTGCTATCCGATTAAGAGAATAACATGTAAATTTAAGTGTACTAGGAAGATTTAATAAAATACTTTGGTCTTTAAGTGTGTTATAAAATTTAGTTTTAATGCATATAAATGGGATTATATATTAATATTATTTTCAGGACAGCCCTTATATCATCCTAATACTGACATACACCTTACAATCATTCTTTTTTTTTCAGGTGCAGTTCATGTGCATAATATTACACGCGGCAGCGAATTACGCCCATGCAGGGTGTCCACCTTCATATACGTTATTAGCAGCAATCCTATTAAATGCTTTACTATTTGTTTATCTATTTGCTGAATTCTATTTTAGCGCTTATGTTAATAAAAATAAACATAATTCGAATAGTAATACGAACAAATCAGCAAACGGATTAGTCAATGAAAAATCAGATTAGATATGTATTATTGTACAAATATTTAATTTAGATGAGTTTTAGTTTATGGTTATCTAATAAAAAGATTATTGATATGCAGATTTTAATTACACCCACTCATTATAATTTTATACATAACTTTTTCACTAACCAGCATGTAATTAATATTTGTAGTTTTTGATCGAAGAAATTAGAGGGGTGTTATAAGTTTGTAGTTTGTACCTGTGTATCAGTGTGTCCGTCCGTGGTATTATAGTTCCTGAAAGGATAAACTGATTTTGATTAAATTTTTTTCGCTCTAAAAGTGTGTAAATAGAGAGTGTTCTTACTTAATGTTTCGAAAAGTTCTGTTCAGCCGTTTAAAATCATGAGCTGTTTTTTAATTGAATTTATTATTGGCTTTATGTGAAGTCATAAAATTCAGTTTCGAGATTGGTCAAGAATATGTTTTCACATTCACCTGATGGCACATTAACTTGTGAAAATTGGAAGTCCAAATATGTGGGGATAAGTACTGTGAATGTGGGAATCAGGTACAAGATACCTTTACTCCTAGTAGTACGCCCTGTTATTAGTTAAAAGGGTATTTGTTTTTCGTCATTTACCATAGAATAGAATTGTATCATTTTTTTCAATACTAGCTGATACCCGCGACTTCGTCCACGTTGCTTTATATTTTAACAAAGTATGGCGCGAATATAAGCGAAAGAAAAAACATCAAAAAGATCGCAAGCAAAATACACTTTACTTACAAAACTTATTCGGTGCTCTGTTTGTAGCTAAAATATATAAATTATCTGGGTTAGTAACGCGAGAGCAAGCGACGTACAGTTGACCGTGTGAAAAACTCCGAATAAAAATCGCTGTGTCTTAAAACTTTAATAACTTTATATTAAATGAAAATATCGCAATATTTTTTTTAAGATAAGGTTTACGAAATAAAACTTAGAAAACGTAATTGAAATCTATCCAGTAGGTTTTCCGTGATGCGCGCACAACCGAAAACCTCTATCATTTTATTGATATACGTCAAATGACATGACAAAAACTTTTATTGAATTCTCCCACAAATAGTGCATGGAATAACTTTAGTGTTACAATTTGTTTACTACAACAAGAGTACATAAATGGTGTGCGTGCGCGCGTGTGTGCGTGCGCATGTGTGCGTGTTTGCAATTCTACGCAATTTTTACAATTCTACGCGAGCTCTTCTCCGTAAGACGTGACGTTGCGCACTGATGCGTCGCTGAGTCAACTAACGCGGTTTCGCGTTAGTTTTACTTGCTTCACTTTCGGTGCGCGTACATGTATTCTATGCGTAATAATTCTATGACTAAACTTGTTTAAGAAAACATATATCTGTCTCACTTACTCAAGTCGCGAAAACAATACCATCACTAAGATTAGATAAAGGTAGACACACAAACACGCAGTGACGGGTTGGTATTGCCTACTATATGAAATTTTACCCAAAATAATGCTATTAAAAGTAGCTTTTTTTAAACTGCAGTTATTTCTTTTTATTTTAAATATGTATCTTTTCTTACCCGATGAATAGAAGCATAGCTAATGAAATGAAAGATATTTTTTCAAAGTATCTTTTATTGTACTAATAAATCAAACAAAAAAATAAATCAAGTAGTAAAACCAATTTGGGATTTCTTAACAAAGAAGATCTGAGTTTGAAATATGCATCAATTGTGAAAGCATTGGAGAGTATTTGTCTTGATCCCGGAAGTGCTTAGCTTATTTCATTTTTTGTGTTTTTTACGTCAATATGAAAACATAAACTAAAACTTACGTGTGGAAAGTGATTCCGCTTGATTAATTATGTTCTTGTGACCTTGAATCGCATTCTTTTACTACGCATTTACCTACCCATTTTTTGTCGTGAATCGTTCGGCTCAACTCGGTCGGCGTCACATTGAACACTGAACCGACGTTAGCTGGGCATATGGCTGTGGCCATATGTGAAGTGGCAACGCTTTGGCGCGGCAATTACTTATCTAATGTAACATATAAATCAATGTGTTTAACGTCCATGTCACACATATGCCGGTAGTTGTTTGAGACATTAAGCTCGAAGTTGTTGACGAGTATGTTTACCTAATAAAAGGGGTGCTAAGAATCTCCGGTGGAGGTTCGGTTGCCACCTTAGACGACTCGACCTGGCAACGTACAACGCACGCACCCTGAGGACTGACGAGAAGATCGTGGAGCTGGAAGAAGAGATAGACAAGTTGCGCTGGCATATTATAGGATTATCCGAAGTCCGAAGAGAGGGGGAGGACACGGTAATCCTCGCATCCGGCAACTTGCTCTATCACCGGGAGGGCGACCATCTGTCCCAAGGAGGTGTCGGATTTATCGTCCACAAGTCTCTCGTTAACAACGTTGTAAAGATCGGGAGTGTGTCGACGAGGGTTGCGTACCTTATACTCAGAATCACCGAACGGTATTCGCTGAAGGTCATACAGGTTTACGCACCAACCTCGGCACACCCCGATGGGGAGGTGGAGGAAATGTATGAGGATATCTCTAAAGCCATGCATTCCTCCAAAACCCAATATACGGTGTTAATGGGAGACTTCAATGCAAAACTAGGCACAAGAGAGAACGGTGAGCTGAAAGTAGGGAAATTTGGAATAGGGCAACGGAACCCAAGGGGCCAGCAGCTGGCCGACTTCATGGAGAAAGAGGGACTCTTTATGATGAACTCTTTCTTCCAGAAGCGGCCCCACAGGAAGTGGACCTGGTCGAGCCCCGACGGTTCGACAAAAAATGAGATTGACTTCATTATGACGACCAGACGACAACTGTTCAGTGATGTCTCCGTGATCGCGAGGGTGAAAACTGGTAGCGATCACCGAATGGTTAGAGGCACACTGAACTTAAACGTTAAGTTGGAGAGGTCTCGTCTAATGAAGTCAACGCTCCGTCCCCCTCGTGCTCTGTTCCAAAGTCCCGAAACCTTTCAGCTCGAGTTACAAAACCGTTTTCAGTGCCTAGAAGACTGCAATGAAGTGGACGATATGAATGACAAGCTCGTGGAAACTGTCCATGCGGTCGGAGCTAAGTTCTGGAAGACCCGCCGCAGAAGAACACAAAAACTCTCCGATCACACTCTTAATCTCATGGCTGTTAGACGGGAGATGAAGCTACGTTCTTCAACAGACTTGACAGCATACAGGCATCTGAACAGACAGATCTCCAAATGCATGCGGCGGGACTTACGCAACTTCAATACAGCTCGTATTGAAGAAGCGATCGAGCGGAACCAAGGCTCCAAAGTCTTTGCCAGAGATCTGTCTGCCAGAAAGAGCCACCTGTCAAGGCTGAAGACAGAATGTGGCAGCATCGTTTCCGGGACACCTGAGATTTTGAGTGAGATTGAGAGGTTTTATGGGCAGCTGTACACGTCATCGTTGGAGCCACACGCAAGTGTGAGTAACGATCCAAGAGCGAGTCTCATCCGACACTATTCCGAAGATATCCCGGACGTCAGTCTGAGCGAGATTAGAATGGCTCTAAAGCACCTTAAAAACGGTAAGGCCCCAGGCGAGGATGGAATTACAGCGGAGCTTCTGAAAGCGGGTGGAAGACCGGTACTTGAAGTCCTTCAGAAGCTCTTTAATTCCGTCCTCCGTGGTGGCATTACACCGGAGGCTTGGAGCAGAAGTGCGGTGGTCTTGTTCTTCAAGACAGGTGACAACGCTTTCTTGAAGAACTACAGACCGATTTCCCTTCTGAGCCGCGTCTACGTGCTGTTTTCGAGAGTCATTACGAATCGTCTCGCGCGCAGACTTGACGACTTCCAGCCTCCCGAACAAGCCGGTTTCCGAAAGGGCTTTAGCACCATAGACCACATACATACCCTTCGGCAAATTGTACAGAAGTCCGAAGAGTACAATTTGCCACTATGTCTGGCGTATGTGGACTATGAGAAAGCCTTTGATTCCGTCGAAATTTGGGCGGTGCTGCAGTCCCTTCAGCGGTGCCAAGTTGACTGTCGGTATATCGAAGTGTTGAAGTGCTTGTACAGTAGGGCTACGATGGCTATCCGAGTACAGAACCAGAGTACGAAACCTATCCAATTGCAGAGAGGTGTAAGACAGGGTGACGTCATATCCCCGAAACTCTTCACCGCTGCATTGGAAGACGTTTTCAAGCTTCTGGACTGGAAAGGATACGGTATCAACATCAATGGCGAGTACATCACTCACCTTCGATTTGCCGACGATATAGTCCTTATGGCAGAATCGCTGGAGGACCTAAGCACTATGCTCAATGACCTCGATAGTGTTTCCCAGCGGATAGGTCTTAAGATGAACATGGACAAAACAAAGATCATGTTCAATGTCCATGTCACACCTATGCCGGTAGTTGTTGGGAGCACTAAGCTCGAAGTTGTTGACGAGTATGTTTACCTGGGACAAATAGTCCGACTAGGTAAGTCCAACTTCGACCGAGAGGTCAATCGACGGATTCAACTCGACTGGGCAGCGTTCGGGAAGCTACGACACATCTTCTCGTCAGATATACCTCAAAACCTGAAAACGAAATTGTACAACCAGTGCGTGTTGCCAGTGATGACTTATGGAACTGAGACGTGGTCCTTCACTGCTGGCCGTATGAGGAAGCTCAAGGTCGCTCAGCGAGCTATGGAGAGGGCTATGCTCGGAGTTTCTCTGCGTGATAAATTTAGGAATGAGGATATCCGCAGTAGAACCAGAGTAACCGACATAGCCCAACGGATTAGTAAGCTGAAGTGGCAGTGGGCCGGCCATATAGCTCGAAGAACCGACAACCGATGGGGAAGAAAGGTTCTCGAGTGGCAGCCTCGTACCGGTAGGCGAAGTGTAGGGCGTCCCCCCACGAGATGGAGTGACGATCTGGTAAGACATGCAGGAAGTCGATGGATGCAGGTGGCTCAGGACCGTGCTTTGTGGCATTCTTTGGGGGAGGCCTATGTTCAGCAGTGGACTTGTGAAGGGCTGTAATGATGATGATGATGGTGTTTA